TGAGGAGGGTTGTCGTTCTGGTCCAGGACACGCACAGTAACTGATGTGTTACTACTTTGCGGTGGTGAGCCTCCATCCTGCGCTTTCACTCGTATTTTGTACTCTTTGCGTTGTTCATAGTCAAGTGAACGCAAAGACTGAATGATTCCACTTTCTGTGTTAATAGAGAAATACATGGAGGTCGGATTTCCATTAACCTCGTCGTCAATAAGAAAATACGAAATGCGCGCATTCTGTCCCTGATCTGGATCACTCGCGTGGATCTGCAACAGAGCGACACCCGGGGGATTGTTTTCCATCACCTGAGTGTAGTAAACACTTTGGTTAAAAGCTGGAGCGTTGTCGTTAATATCAGTTACTTCTAAACCCACTGCTTTTCTGCTTGATAAGGCAGGGACTCCCTCATCGGTGGCAGTCAAAGTGATGTTATACTTGGAACGCTTCTCTCGGTCGAGGTTTTGCTCCGTGACCAATGTATAATAGTTCCTGAGAGAAGATTTAATTTTAAATGGGAGATTTTCATCTATTGTTAAATGCACCTGTCCATTTTTCCCTGAATCTTTATCTTGGACGCTTATAAGCCCCACAACTGTTCCAGGAGGAGAATCCTCTGAAATCTTCCCTGAGAATGAAGCCATTGTAATGACTGGGCTGTTGTCATTCACATCTACTATCTCTATAATTAATTTGCTGGCGCCTGCAACACCCCATGGATCCTTTGCTTGAAGGTTAAGTTCGTAATTTGGAGAAACCTCGTAATCTATGGCACCGGTGAGTTTAATCTCTCCCGTGTACGAATTTATTTCAAAAGGACAGGAGGAATCCTCCTCTAGGTGGGTGAAAGAATACGTAACGTTTCCATTATAGCCTTGATCTGCGTCTACTGCACTGACTCTAGCAACAACTGTCCCTCGCAAAACATTTTCCAAGACAGAGGCTTTGTATACAGACTGCGTAAAAACGGGTGCGTTGTCGTTTGCGTCCAAAACAGACACATGAATTCTCACTGTTCCCGACCTCTGCGGTTCCCCACCATCCACAGCCGTTAATATCAGCGTATGCTCGCTTTGCTTCTCGCGATCTAAACCGCTCTGAAGCATCATTTCGGCGTATTTACTCCCGTCTGTCCGAGTGTGTTGCTTGAGAACAAAATGTTCATTTGCTTTCAAAGAGTAACTCTGCAGTGAGTTAATTCCTACATCAGGATCAGCTGCACTATCGAGCAAGAATACAGTCCCAGTGGGGGTCGATTCGCTAATTTCCAAATGAATTTCCTTTTTGAGAAAAGCCGGCGCATGATCATTCACATCTTGTATTTCGATGGTTATGGAAAACAATTCGAGCGGATCTTCGAGAACGATTTCTAGACTAAAGCTGCAAGGAGATTTCTTGGCGCATAATTTTTCTCTGTCAATTCTTTCATTGACGACTATATGTCCTTTGTTCTGGTTCAGCGCGACATACTGGTTATCATCGTCTATAACTAGTCGAGCCCGACCAGACACCAACCTTCTCACATCCAAGCCCAGGTCTTTAGCAACGTCTCCCACAAACAGTCCTTTTCTCATCTCTTCTGGTATAGAATAACGAATTTGTCCGCTGACCGCAGCAACAACGCAGCAAAGCAAAATGGAGAGTCCCAAATCCAACGCAGTGCCTTTGTTTTTCAGATTATCCATTTCTTCTCAAAAATGTCAGATCAAAAGCGGCGTCTATGTCGCTCTCACTATACACCACATCGGCAGTTCGTATAGTCTTCTTTTAAATCCCGACAAGCCTAAAGTCTTTGTGGATATACGCACACAACCATCGCCTATTTTCTTCAAACAAGGGTGTTGACTTTGCGCCAGTGATAAGGCCGATGTTCCACCAGTAGACTGCTTAGGCAACAGCACCACCAACAGTGACTGAGCAAAACAACATCACCACGGGTGTATGTGTACAACGATGCTTCACTGTCTGGTCAGTCCATGTTATATATCCACACTATGTGCAATTCCTGCCTAACCTAACATGCTGCTGAATTACAACACCAAAATCCAGTGAACAATACCTGACTCATGAAGAGCATTTAAACTGACATTTTTTAGTTCCCAGCATCATTTATTTTTCTGATTATCCAGGGAGCTTGTCTAAATTTCCTTTATAGTCATGTGTCTATGACTATAAATACGAGTTGGTAAGCATTGAATTGTGAAGGGAATGAGGGTCTTGAGTTACTTTAAAACTGTAATAAATAAATAAATAAATAAATAAATAAAAATCCAATGTCCGAAATATACGAGTGAATTAATGTGCTTAATAAATGATAAGCTAAGAAATAAATGGGCATACACATACAATCATAGAGTAAATCATAACAGAGCTGTTTATCTGAACACTGACAAACAAACAGATAATTAATAAACAACTGTGCAAACAGTGGGATACACAGATAGATATATAAACAGATAATCTACTCTCTGGTGATCTAATCTAACTGATAAGTCCTGTGACCTACATTTCAGCAGTGCAATCAACATCTAAACTGCTGCAATATTCATCCACACGCATGAATGCATGCTGCCAAATTTTACTGCAGTGTATTCTGTCTCTGTGCTACAAACATGTCTGCACAGGTAGAAAATGGCTATTTTTTGAAAATGGGTCACGACAGTGCCTTGCTCCATTCCCCTGCCCACACATCAGAGAACATCCTGCCACAGAGCATACTATTCTGCACATCATGATTGTGCATTATTCAGGAGATGACTGCACAGCAGCAGCCAGGGTTATTAATATTAATGTTGTATAAAGCCTGGGGTGTAGAAAAACATAGAACACACAAATAAGAGCTACATGAAAACAAGCTGAAATTTCAGTCTTGCATGTATATGACTTTCACTCTAACATATGTGGGAGATGTTTCTGAAACACTCAGATGCATCAATACAGTTAGTGTATTGTGTAATAAAAAAAAAAACAGAGAGAGAAAGAGAGAGAGTAGAAGAAGATGTGTTGTAATATTGATTGTAGGAGTTGAGGATGGTGTAAGGTTGTGATACGAATGTAACAGAGCAGTCGTGGTCGTGTGTGTGTGTGTTTAAAAGAGAAAGGACAATGAAAATTATCTTACCTATTGGATCGAAATATGGAAGTTCCATCCAGGAAGCGCACCAAGGAAAGAAACAAGGAAAAAGAAAACAGTTAGTATGAATCCTGAAACACTAAATCCACCAGATTTTGTCACATTCTTTCATGTCCATGGGCATTACACACATATTTATAGTGAAATCATGAGTAAAGTAGTTGTTTGATCTTGTGATATATCAGACACCATGATGGCATCTAACTGTAGCATAAAGTCAACAAATTATAGCTTAAATGTAATTTTAAAAAATTCAAGTACCTGTAAAAGTTCATTATTTGCATAAAGATGTCTGTTTCTTGATGTAAAATAAGTAGGTTTACTTAAAATTCTGTCAAGCAACTAAAGCTTTAACCCATAATCTGCTCAATTACTTGGTCATCCCAGAACAGCGTTAGCAAACTGAAGTGGACTTCAGTGTAGTCTATATGTAAATTATTCTGCCATTTTCTGTGGCAGTTTAGCACATTATAGCCAAAACAGAATGCCATGCAAGAGTCTTCTGTTTTGATGACATCACATTTAAGAAACAGACAAAGAAGAGAAACTGATGTCTACTCATTACATCCAGTAAATTACAACGGCTCTGTGTTAAAAATCAATACAAAACACAAAGAAGTGCAGCTCAAAGTCGTTGCTAAAATTGCCACTTCGAGAAATTTCATACATCATGTGTGAGCGGTTTTCAAACATTTCATTCTCTATTCACAATCTGTTTCTGTAAGACAAAGCCAAACTACCCACAATGTTCAGGAACCCTGGAAACCATGTGGTGCTTGTATTGATTAAAATCTGCCATGCCGTTAAACTGACATACTTTCTATCACTTGCCAGTGCTGTCAGCCACACTGCTAAGAACTGTGCTCTTGTGACCTACATAGCAATAAGCAAATATTAACCGCTGCTTTCTCCTCTCCTGCTAACATGGCTGAAATTAGGAGCACACATGTGCCTGCAGCAAAACGACAAACAGAAACACACATGGATTCACAAGGGAATTTTGTTCATGACAAATCCTCTCGGCTTCACCAACGTGGCAAAGTCTATGGCGTGCAGGAATACGCACACACAGACACTTTATGTGACACAGAAACACACATCACAGTTTAGCTGTTGTATAAGACTCTAACCACTGACCTGAGTGTAGCAGCTGAGAACTGTATTACTTTCTACGTTCAGACATATAATCACATTTTGTACTGTAACTTTAAAAAATGCTTTCATTTTTTTACTCCTGTTTTCTCTTTTGTTTCTACTGCAGTGTGTTTATCGTTGTACCTCTCAAAGTTAATGCTAAATAAGCCTCCGCGGAAAGCAAAAAAAAAGGAAAGGAAGAACGAAAGAAAGACAAAAAAGGCAGACAGACTGACTATTAATACTATTTCTATTTCTGTTTTATTATTTTCAGCTGTGACAGCACTGTGTAAGAACTCAGACTGGCATTTTATGTCTTGGCTGACCTTTAAAAAGATTAGTCTTTCATCACCAGTTCCCCAGTTAAACATTGGATATAAACAGCTTATTACACAAAGCTTGCTCTATTTCTCATTCAAAAGTGTTGTCCATGTTGTCTGTCAAAACCTTGATGGAAACAGTAAAGACAAGCGGCCTGCATCACAACCTTTGCATAAAGCACAAAGTAAAGTGAATGATGCAAACCTAGCAGACAGTTGAAGAGAAGAAAAAAGGTGACACACAAAAGATGGTAAACGTCCAAATCTGATGAACAACTGTGACGGAAAAGTTGATAATTCATCAAGTAAATTTCTTCAAAGCCTTTGACTGAAAACATGTTGATTTATCAAAAAACTGAGTGCAGACGGGGTGCAGGTGGACCATGCAGTCTTTTATGAAACACATGATAAAGAAAAAAGAGTTGTCCAGAAATGATCGCACAACAACTAGTTGTCCTTCATTTAAAACTTTCAACTATCAATTGGTGTAAAGTGATACTCAGGCAAGTTTTATTATGTGTTTTGTTATGATAAGCACAACTAACCACAAAAAAAAGAGAAACCAGCTTTGTTTTTTGTTGTAAAAGTCCTTCACGTGTCTTTTGTAAATTCTGAGAAAAGGGCCATCTGGCCACCAGAAAGAAAAAAAACCCCACAATCTTCTCTATAAATTTATTTTTCATGAAATACAGCATACAATTTTTTTGGTTTGTTTTTTTTACACATTGTTCAGTTCATGGCTGGTAGTGACAAAACTTTTATTGCATCTTTGCCAAAAAGAAAATGATGCTTTATTTTGTGGAAAACTTGACATAAGATTATCAAAAATCTGGCTGCAGTGTATTCCAGGTCAAAAAATCAACAATAAAAAAATGCATGAAGGCCCATTATGCAAAAAAATAAATATAATAATAATAAAAATTAAACAGAGGCAAAGACAATAACACCAGAGACAAAGAAAATAAATGAACAAAACACATTAAAAACTACATCTCCTCAACTGTGTCAGTCTCAAGATGTAATGAAGAATGGAGACGCCTTTAAAAGGTCTACCATGCAGTTTGAATGTAAAATAGGAGACGGATCAGGTTATGCGTTTAATCAATCACATCCTGCTCCAAACTGACAATGCAGTACTCGTGTTTGAGCTTTTAATGAAGAGAGATACTAATACTTATTTTAAACACTTGTGATAGTTTGCATGAAGATACAGAAAAGAGCTGCAGGGACACGGATGGTTGGGCTCATGAAGGTGCATAAGGCATGAGAATAGTGACAGAGTAGAAGAGCAAAAAGTGACAGGAAAACAAGATAAACCAGACTGAAGTAACCACAAACAACCACCTTTCGCAAATATGTTCAGTCTTTAGAAAACAGTAACAAACAAAATAGAGATAAATACAATATTGACTATATTTATGGCTCTGTGAAAGTATTTTGGAAACTGTGCCAGAGGATGGATAAAGTAGACGGTTAAGATTGCTGTCTGTGTTCAGGGTGAGGTCATTTTGGGATGAAGTTGAGGTCATATACTTGAAGAACATGATTTTTTTTTTTTAACATATTCATGCACAAATACTTCAGAAGAAACACACTTTAAACATTAAAAAAAAAACACTGCATATATATTTATATCGTAATTAAAGAACAGTGAGAAAATTAATGCAGTTATATTATCTTTCACAGTCAGAGGGTCCAAATTAAATTCACCTCACAGGGATTATTTTACAACATCTGGCACGGCAGACTCTCATTTGATCACGTAACAAGGATGCGGTGCACCTGCCCTCACTTTCAGACTTCCTCTGTCTGTACTGACGCGCCTCAGCGTGTTCTTTTGATAGGCTGCACTTCGTTTCTTAAGTGTGTCAGTGTCTGTATTTGATCCGAAACGAAAGTCGCCTCTCCACGACCCAGTGGTCAAGAAAGAATCATATCGCTCATCTTTCAACAAAGTCCCACAACGGCTAAAATCTGTGAAACTCGAGGGGCAATAGGTCGTGGGGAAAACGGGGAGACTGGCCGTGGTTGAACGATAAACATAACCACGCCGGCAGAGCTTAAAATAAAACACTCCGCTGATTAAAAGGATGAAAAGAGAAGAGACGGTTGACAGAGCGATGATCAAATAGAGCGTTAAGTTATCGTTGTCCTGTGATTCATCTGCAAACTCAAAAAGTTCGCTTAAAACGGGCAGCCCGTCGCCAAGCATGATGCTGACTGTCGCAGTGGAGGACAGAGACTCGGGCCCGTTATCGGTTACTAAAACGATGAGAGTTTGTTTCGGCTCATCGTCCTCCATGAATGCTCGCATAGTTCGGATTTCTCCTGAATGCAGGTCTACCATAAACATGTTAGGCCGCGTTGCTCTGATTATTCTATAGGAAAGCCAGGCGTTATGGCCAGAGTCTGCGTCCACCGCCACCACCTTAGTAACCAGGTAACCTCGAGGCGCTTCAACTGGCACCATATCTTCTGCAATGAACCCTGCGCTTTGGACGGGATATAAGACAACAGGTGAATTGTCATTTTGGTCCTTTATAAAAACATTTATCGTACACGTGGTGGAAAGTGGAGGCCCGCCTCCGTCTCGAGCTGTCACCTTAATTTGGAAGTGAACCGACTGTTCGTAATCAAAGAGGCGCGATGTGAAAAGCTCCCCTGTGTCTGAGTTGATAGTAAGGAAAGATGACACTTCTGAGTTCGCTATTTGGTATAGTATTTTAGCATTAGACCCGTCGTCAGCGTCCTCTGCTATAACTTTTATCACAAAAGTGCCGACTGGCTGGTTTTCTAAAATGTTGGCATTATATTCTCCCTGCGTAAAAGTCGGGGCGTTATCATTTACATCACTAACCACGATTGAGATAACTTTCACACTAGAGAGTGACGGAGCGCCAGCATCAGTGGCAGTAACTGGTATGTTATAGTCTGGTTGGAGTTCTCTGTCGAGTATCCCGTCAGTTACTAACATGTAATAGTTTTTCACCTCTGACACTAATTTAAATGGAACGTTATCTGGGATTGCGCACGTAACGCGCCCACTGCTTCCAGTGTCCAAGTCGTAAATATTAATCAGAGCGACCATAGTCCCTGGTTTAGAGTCTTCAGCCACGTTAGCAGAGGCTGACTTTATTTCTATCACGGGTTTGTTGTCGTTTACGTCAGTGACGTCAACTATAAGTTTGCAATGAGAGGCCTGACCACCGCCATCTTTAGCCTGAACATCCAACTCGTGCGAGCTGGCCTCTTCATAGTCAATAACACCTGCAACCCGAACTTCTCCACTCTGAGGGTTAATTTCAATAACTCCTCCCATCTTGTCTGACAGGTGACTAAAGGAGTATGTTATCTCCCCATAGACACCCTCGTCCAAGTCCGTGGCATTCAGAGTCGTTATAACAGTCCCAATGGGTGAGTTCTCTGGTACGGAGGCTTTGTAAACTCGTTGGCTGAAAACTGGGACATTGTCATTGGCGTCCAATACACGGACATGGATGGAAGCAGTTCCTGATCTGACTGGATTCCCCCCGTCGATTCCATTGATTTTCAGCACATGTTCAGCCTGTGCCTCCCGGTCCAAAGCTTTTTTCAGGACTAGTTCTGGATACGCATTGCCGTTTATTTGGGTGCTCATTTCCAGTGCAAAATGTTCATTTTGGCTCAGCTTATATTCACGGACGGAGTTAGTGCCCAAATCGGGGTCATGCGCGCTCTCTAGGGGAAAGCGCCTCCCCAGAACTGTGGATTCCACTAAATCCAGTTTTATCTCCCCTGCAGCGAACACTGGGCTGTTGTCATTTATATCAGCAATGTCCAAAACTATGCTGAATGCTTGGAGGGGATCTTCAAGCAAAAGCTGATATTGTAGAATGCAGACAGTGGCTTGCGCGCACAGCTCCTCTCGGTCTATCCGTTGGCTGATCAAAAGGTTGCCTGACGCAGTATCCAGTTCACACAGCTGCTTAGTTCCTTCTGCAACTATCCGAGCTCGACGAGCATCAAGATCCTTCACCTTCAGTCCCAGATCCCGTGCAACGTTCCCAATAACCGAGCCTCTCTGCATCTCCTCTGGAAGAACATAGCGGACTTCTCCGAACGAAACAGAAAAAAGGAGGCTAAATAATAGAAAGTGCAGCCACCGTGTCGAATTTATCCGATGGTCCATTATCAAACATGCTTTTAAAAACAGATGCGCTGTCGACATTCTGGCTAAATTCTTAACATTTGCATTGAACTATCGGACTAAAAATGCTGCTGTAATCCAACGATTCCCTGCTTCTGCAGCTGAGTTAATCATGCTCTATTAGGGAAGCTGTCAGCCTGGTTTCCTCTCTCTCTGTTCCCATTTCATCACTGCTTTCCCTCTCTCTCTCTTTCTCTCTTGCTCGCTCACTCACTCACACAGCCTCTTCTCCTTCTCTCCCTCATACACACAAATGCGCATGCATGCACAGCCCTCGGCTCTAACCCAATACTCTAGTTCCACTGACACAGATAGAGTGAGACACCAGCATCCATGAGTCAGACATTATAAAAGAGCGTCACCAAGAGACTGAGACAATAACTGCAACTGCTTTTTTTTATATATCATCCTGCACTACCGGAGCAAAATAATATGAGGTAAAAAAAGAAAGTCATTAAATAAAATCATGTTTGAAACAGCTAGGGAAGGGACACAAAAGGTAAAAAATAAATAAAAGCAACACCCGAACAATGTAATGCAAATCTATACAATGAACTGAGGTGGTTCTGCAACACGACATTCACTCTTTTATAAAGGAAGGACATGAGGAAGTTCTTTCTGTGTCACCAAAGATTTGCAGTGGATCCAAGTCTATACGCTGCACACCATAACTGCATTACTACTGCATTAGTCATTGTCTGGTCTGTGTCCAAACCTGACAGGCTTCATCAGAGTCTGCACAATTTATCGCTGGTGCCAAATCATCCAGGACTAAGACATATTCTGAGTCAAGAGAGAAGGAGACATGATTGCTGACTGCAGGCACTGCTTGATTCAACTTCTTTCCTCTGGTAGGTGCTACAGAGTACTCAGCACCCAAATAACAAACACAGTTTCTTTCCACAAGTAACACACAGATATTAATCATGTGAGGACAACAATCTCTCTGTACAATCAATGCAA